ACTTTGCATACAATTTCGGGTTTATGACTTTGCAAATATCTTTCGTTAAATCTTCATTATGGAGGATATACAGTGAGTATAACCTAAAATATGCTATTTATTAATCTTTATTATTAAATTACTGAATAAGATGAGTGGTTCTTCGCACCACCTATTGAATTAAGTCATGTTAATGTACCGCATTTCAGAGTCTTAGTTTCTTAGACTGTAGAATTGGATGCACAAAGTTATGTGAATCGCGTGGAAATGACTAGTTACATGTGACGCATACTAATTATTTTTCATGTGACAATTTAACATCATATTCTATGCCCATGTGATAATTTTCCCAACTCTAGTCCTGGATATAATATAGAGTTAGTGTTAGTGGTACGTACATGTTATCTACAAATCTTTCGCTGATCTTTCACTATTGTTTTTGGCAATTAATAATTCCTTTCATTGAGAAATCGGGCACAAATAAAAGGTCAAGTAAACAATAATAATAATGATGATAATAATGATAATAATAATGATAATAATTAAGAAGACGAGAGTAATGGTAAACATAAGGTGGACACTTAGAATATGGAATTTTCAAATAATGACAATTATAATTACTTAATATCGTTATTATGATTACAGTTTAGAATTGATAAAATATAAATTACGTATAGAATGCTGATATAAATAAAAAGTATATACAGTAAAGTACGGGTGCTCATGAGCATTTCGTTACATAAGCTGCAACCTAAATTCTAGAATTTATGGTATAAACCACATGAGTACAGATCTATACCGAATATGAATGAAAACAGACTAAAACGTGTGTTTAAATTAAAAATAAAGGTAAGACAATGTAAAGGATAGCGTTTTTAATGAAGTGGAACTTGATTATCAACAATTAACAAGAAATAAAAAGAGATAAACCGTCACTACTATATAATTTGGAAGAAACTTTTAAAGCGATTTTATTCACTAGACTATTGAGGCTTTTATATATTTTAGATCTTTATATTATACTTGGTATGCTTGAGGCTATCACGTCAGCTTCACACAACTTAACGACAAAACTATGTTGGTTTATGTTTTAAGCTTATTTATTGAACTCGTGTCAGACAAACTAAATTCAGAGTTACTTGAATCATTTATCAGGTTATAAAGACAGATATTTTTCTATATTACCATTTACAAAAACAAGTATAGTTCAAATTTATTGACATATATATGAGTGCGTAATCTATTTTTACTCTCGAATTAAAAAAATTATATAATTCGAAAAGATGTGAATTATGAACGCTTGTTCATGTCCATATAATAAAGTTACTACTGTATGCATATAACCGGGTCAATTTCGGATCAATTTCAGGCCCCCAGTTGGAGTACTTCTCTTTCGTATTTTAAATGTCGCATGAGACACATTGAACAAAAATTAATGGTATGTAGTTAGATTAAACATGTAAATTATATTATAAAATGCCGGTGTTTTATTAAAATGAGAGTTATTTTTTCAACCAGCTGCGCAATATACCAAAGTGTGAAAGAAATTGATATGCTCACTCAACAATTTACCTAACATCTTTAGTTCTTATTCGATTTTACTAGTTAAACCTTGATTTCTGTCCTTAACTTCAATGAATCATGAAGGAACTGTAGAAATTCATTAGATCAATGTATCGATATCAATGATTCAGGGACTACATTATGTAATGAAAGTTTGTAATTAATTTAACCTAATAAATAAATTTCAATTCCGGGAAGAAAAAAAAATTATTTATGACACATGTTGAAAAATATCATTAAAGGCCTTTTAAAACTTTTAATATGTCTGGAAAAAAGGCACCAAATTTTAAAGTCAAAATATTCCAAAATTTTGTTCCCTTTATATAATTTGCTATATCCCATTTCTCACTTTTGCACACAAATTATAAGAAGGAACTAGTAATCATAATTAAAATGCTAAAGATTATTACTGTGGAACACCAATTCCCATTTTCCGAGATTGATGCAGAAGACGTTGAATTTTCCGAATCACCACGTTTTCTATAAATTATGGGATGACGACGTTTGTATATGTGATAATGACGTTTGGATATATGACGTTTATTGTATGGGACCGGAGGATTACCAATGACAACAAAAGTGTTTATATCATATGTATAAATTTCAATCTCTTCATCCTGACTAATAAGAGCTCTGCTCATATTAAGATATTCGATTATTTTAAAATTATGTTTAGCATTTGAGGTGATTATTAAGACGGAGATTAGGATAAGTATGTGAAAAGTAAAGAAAATACGCATTTTCTAAAGAAATTGGTGGGTTATTGAATTTATTAGTTGAAAAAATAATTCATCGTGAGAATGATGGAATAATCAGCGAAATAAAAAAACCAATATATTGCAGTATATATGCGCGAGCTCAGACTGCTTGTATTACAACTTATGCCAAGCTAACCATTTATTGCCTCATATTTGTCACCTAAATTTATATTGCAAAACAATGCCAACCGAACATGGATACACAATATGTTTGTTACACAACTGGATCCTCAAGATTGCAACCTGACGCTGTTAGTATGTAGGTAATTTCATTGGTTCACAGCACAAAGATTGTCTTTGCGTCCTTTGCATAAAACATACCAAACAGAGTCTTAATAGCACAAATGTATGCTGCGACAATAAACGTTCATGTTCATTATAATCGTTTGACCTATTCTTGTCCATTTGTTTTAACTCAAATAAAACCGCCATTACGAAGCGATAAGTTAGCCACCCACCCTATTATTTATCCTATTCTATACATAAAAACGATCTTATCATTTACGTAAGAAGCAGACTTCGTATATAATATTTTCTGTTTTCATACATAAAATTATTATATTTATAAACATTTTTCTCAAGTCAACAAACAACCGCCAGTCTGACACTTATGGTACTATATGTATAATGATTCATAAAATGCTAAATATAAACTTAATCTCTAACTGAATGTTTAACAGATTAAAATATATGCAATTCGAGTAGTACATTATAAGGCTTGCTAATAATTATGTACTACAAAATATAATTTGAGAATACCAAAACAAATTAAAATTTAATAAATTTGCTGTAAGAATAATGATCCGACCGCAGTGGGTATCGATTAGAGATGACAAAAAACAAGATTTTTATTGATTTAAATTAGATAACATTAATGTTTAGACTACGCTTAGATTAGGGTTCAGGGCACGGGAAAAAAATTGGGCATGCCCCTGAGCTAAGGCATGCCCATATGGGCGTGCTCCTGAGCTAAGGTATGCCCCTCATGCCCATGGGCATGCCCTTTTTAAATCATGTGATTAACATATAGTTCACAACTTCTTAAAAATCTCACATGTTGATTTAGTATCTACGGTTCTAGTTTACCTGAACTTATTAGCCAATTAAAATAACTTTGAACATCACATGACAAAGGCATGCCCCTGTGCCCTGAACCCTACGCCTACCTCAATGAGTTTACCGAACGGTTTGATTGGTCGAAAAATTTGATCGTAATCATCACTTCGGTCAAAAAAACCTGGAGCTGCGACCACCAATTTTTTTTCATAGAGCTACACTAATTGGTTAAAATTCATCATTTATAGAGTAATCAAAGAGATTGCTCAAGCTTAAATACTCTTTTATTATTTATTTCGTAACATGATCCTCAACAAGACCGTTGTCGCTACCAAAAAATTATTATCTTACTCTTCATCTAAAAACTCTAACAAATAAAAAACGTTCAGAGTTAATATTCAAAGAATAAAAAATTAATTTTTTATATATTATACACATATTTTATTAAAATAAATTCATGTTTCATTATATTTCGATGTCGCTTTGTTTAACGTTAAAGAATCCATATAAAGTTACGTTGGTGAATATGGATGTTGCCGTAATGACTGTATAGCCAAATATGGCTGTTATTGCAATGATAAGTTATTTGTGAAATTGTTAAGAGGACGAATGCTGGAGGCAAAGTTTCAAACGCCAAAGTCTTGGGTGCTAAATTATTAAATAGCTGGGTAATCGCCCTTTTTTTTCTTGGAGTCATAATGGAAATCGATTGAAAGTGATAGCTTAAGCATTGATCGCAGCGTTTGAGCGTCACCTCGATCACTAGTTAATTACATTGAGGGAGACGCTTGAGAACAACCTGATTCAACTAAATCGAAAAGAGCGATAAAATTTTAACTTTTTCTTGGCTGAGCGGAGGAGAATAGAGTGGAAAACCCTTTCACGGTCTACCGAATTCAAACGTTGCTCGGTATAGACCTTATAATAACATTTAATAATTTTCCGCCAAGTTTTTAATAATGAATAAGATAAATCATCACATATCCGGTATCCTTTTTAGTTTTATCGTTTGTTAAATTAAAAATCACGTGATAAATATAAGGACCTTAATTTAGGGTACATTCATATACTTATCTAAATACAGCAAAAATGGTGCGTATCCTTGATATCTTATATAAATAGTAATTCTAACCCATCGAAATAGTCGATTCCAAATTGACCTAGGTCATTCTAAATTTTGAAGCGACGTAGGTTATTTCAGGTTATTCTCAATCGGCGTAAAATTCAAAAGAACATAAAGTTGTATGACCAGGCGATAAACATTACACGATCGGTAATAAAATTGCAATTATATCGTATAAATTTAAAATAAAAAATCGCATAATCAATATATGTAAAAAAAAATACACAATAAAAGCATATAAAAAATTCGCATGACTAAAAAATTACATTAATTTAAAAAATAATCCTTATCGATTTTTACATTCATCACGTAGAACACACCCACACCGTCGATTACATAGCACAAGCATTAGAAGAGCAATTGATTTTTTTGCAGCGACAACAATTTTGAACGATTGTTTTGAGGAGCCTTCTTCGGTGATTATTGCTAGATTATTATAAATTAATTTATTATCTCATCGTTATATAATTGTCATGTAATAAATTATTACTTAATAAAGATAATCGTTATCATTATTTTGGCTCGAGGGTTGATTTAATAGCTCGTTATTTTGTTTAATGCTTGTCTCAACGAAATAGGTTTATTTAAAGAAACTACATTAAGAGAAGATAATCGGAGATTTCGAATGCAGCAAGCAACTTGATGAGTCGATTTTAGACTTTGAAGTGCTTTGCAGAATAAGAATCCTCGACCATTTTACTCTTATCAATATCAGATATACGATTTTTTTTTGAATTCGCCGTGCTCGAATGTTAATCTTATACTGTTCTATTATACTTCGTATAAGCTCCCGGTTCTCTTTATTTTTAAAATTGCCGATTGTCGAACCGTTTTATGCTGTTCAAAAAATCGACAGATCAAATTTGTACTAGGTGATGATTATAAAAAAATTTTTTTTACCATTAATATTTTATTTATTGATTTTATTTATTTAATATTCGAAGTTGATTCTTAAAAAATTAATATGAAGAATGAGAAAGCTATATTTAAAATTAAGCATTCAAAAGGCTTTATTTATTTAGATTAATTTTTTTTTGCATCAATTAATATAATATACGTAATGCATTTGCAGTATAATAAATTTTAACAATTCTGAAGTTCTGATTTTTTATCAAATTTCAGGATCAACTGACAACATCGTGTGACAAATAAACACTAACTAATAAATAAGTTAGTACTTATTTGTCACCCGATGTTTGGTCACACCCAGCAACACATGGAAGGGGTCACCTGCGCGTAACTTTGCATTAAGAATTGATAGATTTCTATATAAATCGGTGAAATTTCAATGAGCATCAGGATATATCGGGAGACAAATATCCCGATATACACCCGCAAAATATTAATAGCATATCAATAGTATATTTTGTAAATATCGGAAAGTAGTTCGATAACCCGATATCTTATCACCAAGAGTAAAATATAGGTATATCCCAATATTTTGCTGATATGTTACTGATATTGACTATTTTACCGATATGTTTCTACGTAATATACTGCCGATCTGCTTATATTTGGCAGATTTGGAATAGGCTATCGGGGATATTTTCTCCCGATATTTACCCGTTAATCATTGAATCGACCTGTGCCAAGTTTGCAAATGATGTACATGTTTCATAGAGCGATGTTTCCAGAAAAGATGTGTATTTTTAACGTAACAAGTTACTATTTTTGAGTACGTTCACACCTGAAGAATGCCGAGATTCACGTGATAAAATTTAACAGCTATTAATTCTATGTGCATGCGCATCTACATACGTATAAAACATGAAGATAACACATCACAGTTAAAAATTTATAATACGAGGTTTTCAATATTTTCCGAAAGAATGAAAGAAAATGGAAAAGATCGTTATAAGATTGCCGATAATTAACGTAGTCATCGACATAATAACAGATCTTCTACCTTGTGAAAATGCTTTGTGCAGTCTTGATTATTATATTTAATGCTATGTGCCGCACACTGACAAATTAAATTGTAATAATCATGTCTATAGCATCATTACTTTCTCGAAAAGAATGTTTGACCACAAAAGCACGCACTGGCTCTTTAATAACCGTATTTAATTATTTTGCTAGATTTAGCAACGAAACTGAAGATTACGGTGAATGCTTTGATTGCTGCAAAAAAAATACAGGTTTCAACTGGTGTCGAAATTGTATCTCACAACATTTTTGGCAATGTTTCGGAATTCCCAAATTCACGCTACATCAAGAGATCGTGTTTTTGAATGGATTCCATATGATCAACTAACAAAATTTAAAATTATTGGAAAGGGTGGTTTTGGTGTCGTTCAGCAGTCTACATGGTTAGAAGGACAGATTGATCAGATAATAGGTTGGAATTCTTTACGGAAACAATGGGAAAGGCATGGCAAAACAAGAGTTGCCGTAAAAATTTTAGATCATTCCAGAAAAATGACTG